GAAAAAAATAAAAAAAAATATTTAGGGAATCAATACGGAATACTAATTGCCTTCGATCATCAAATCAATACTGGAAAGATATTATTAAATGATTTACTTTGTATAAAGCTGCTGCTACTACTACTACTACTACTACTACTACTCCTCCTTTACACGCTTCGTCAATTCGGATTAAAAAATGTTTTCCTGTACACTTTTCGTAATGTTTATTTTTCCTTCGGGAACCGTCACCGCGATGATGCATATATACAAACAAAAAAAAAGACTCTGAAACAAAAATAATAATATATGTATTAATATATATATAAAAATGTTGGGTATTTAAATGTGAAAAAATAATTATATATTGTGTAATTACTATTTTTAAAATAATATAAGATAAATATATATATATTTAATTCTGTTTGTGGTACCCGGTACCACTTTGATCGGTACTAAACCTTCCATAGGGATAACATCGAATGTGGTGTTATAATACCTCTTCTAGAAATTTCAAAAGATTGAATTCCTTTTCGCGCAATACACGTCATCAATTTTACGGTCATTTTTTTTTTGCATGTTGAAATAAATCTTCGGGTTTTTCCCACAATTTCCCAATTTCCACCATTTAAAAATTAAACAAACAATTCGTGTCCTTTACGTGCTTTCCCATTGTTCGAAAGGATTGCGGTTACAGATTTTTTTTTTTTTTTGTCTTCCATTTAAACTTTTTAAATAAAAGTTGAAATTTGTAATAAAACATACATTCATTTCCCATTCGCGATGACGTAATGAGATTTTCCCCAACGGAACAAAAGAAAATTTTCGCCGTATCAATCGTACAAGTTATCGAATCCGGAATAAAATTTGATTGACATTTTTTTTTTTTTTTTTTTTTTAAAAAACGATATCCGTTTTATTTATAAAAAAGCTAAACCTGATCAACTAAACACCTGTGACGAAATAAACCTAATGAAATACATTAAAGTTTTCCTTTTAAAAGTTTTAAAAAATTGTGTTTTTCCTCTAAATAAAATAATAATAATAATAATTGTTGAGATGAACGACAAAGAGAATTTATTAGAATTCGAGAATTATTATTATTATTATTGAATTACTTTTCTCACGATATTGGAGCTCTTTCTTCATTCGAGAAACTTGGTAAATTCGAATTAGAGTCGCTTTTAATCAACGTTCGAAGAAGAAAAAAACGGAAAAACGGAAAACGAAAGAAAACACGAAAAAAAAATCGAAAGTACTTGTTTTTCATTTGTTTTCCTTTTTTTTTTTTTTTTTAATGATGAGATTATGGTTATTTGAAGGATTTTAATTCTTGATGTGATTTTTATCATTGTAAATTGATTTCTTAGTCTTTTCCCTCGTCACGTGACTAGATTAAAAATCACAATACAATTTCCGCTTTTTCAAAATTTTTTTGAAATCCGTTTGCATCCCCATTCGATGACGTTCGACGTTTATACATTTTCCTAAATTTTTCCTCGTTCACTTCCTTCTTCTTCTTCTTCCTCTTTCTCTTCTTCTTCTTCTTCTTCCTTCTTCTTCCTCTCCCTCTTCTCCCTCTTCTTCCTTCTTCTTCTTCTTTTTTCCTCAACAATATCCCATTTTATTTAACATAATTTAAAGTAACACTTTTCATTATTATTATTATTATTCAGTTTTTTTCACTTTAATTCACTTTGACGTCTTTTTTTTTTTTTTTTTTTTTTTAACGACAAATCCACTTAAAACAAAAATTAAAAAAAGATTTATAAAAAAAAAAAAAAAAAGATTGAATTGTTTAAAACGAAGTTGACACTTTTATTAAAAAAAAAATTTCCCCCCCCCTTCCCCTCCCCGTTTTATTTGCATCCTCTCTCGTATCGATTATATGTTAAAATAATTTAATTTTTTTTAAAACTTTTTCCGAACCTTTTTTAATATTATTTTCAAAAAAAAAAATTAAAAAGTCTTTGTTGTGATAAAATTAAAAACCATTAAAAAATTATTATTATTATTATTACAATCCAATTAACGTGTTTTCGTTTCGAAAAGGTTTCTTGTTACTTGCAACAAACTTCCGCTTTTCTTTTTTTCTAATTAAACCTTCGGAAAAAAAAATGTTTTGTGTTTCCTTTTTCTCGCGTAAATAGAAATTTTTTTTTTTTTTTGCACTCAAAACACGTAAAACCAAACTACCGTTTAAACTAAACTTTTTTCAAAAAAAAAAAAAAACTTTAAATAATTTATACAAAACTAATAAAATATAAATTTCGAAAAAATTTTCCGTTTAGAAAATAAATTCTCGTACGATTTTTTATTTCCGGCCAATAAATAAAAATTAATTCAATTTATTTTGATTTTTTTTTAAACAATTTCAAACACGGAAACGAAACGTTGATGATGATGATGATGATGATGGTGGTGGTGGTGGTGGGGACGGTAAAATCACGAAACGAACATTTATAATTTAAATTAAAAAAAAAAAAAACCGTTGAAAAAAATCATTGATGTCGTTTGTTTGTTTGTTTGTTTGTTTGTTTTTTGCGGTGGACTCCAAGCTTTTTTTTTTTTTTTTTTTTTTAATAACGGTTTGAAATAATGAAAATTATCCGGGTAAAAAAAAAAAAAAAGCTTTAAAAATCGTTAAACTGATTAAATAAAACCAAACAAAGAGTTTAAACCGAGAGGGGGGGGGGGGAAAAAACAAAACAATTTCCCAATCTCTGACAATAATTTTAAAAATGATTTGCTTTCTACTTACGATGAGCTGCTCCCTTTTCGAAAATCGAAGACGACAACCATTCGTCGAAACATTGTTTTACTGTCGCGCACATCGACACCACTTAACTTTTTTTTACACCGTGTTAATTAATTGTTACTACCACATTGTCATTACACACCATTTTAAAACGTTACATATCACTTTACCACCGATCAAAACAAAACAAAACAAAAAAAAAAAAAAAAAAAACGGTTTTACGAGGGTCACATGACGACTCCTTTTCCGTCATCTGCCATGTTTTCAATTTCGCAAATTTTCACAATGACCGACGAATTATCATCGTAACCGCAAACTTCCGCTTCGTAAAATTCCGAATTTACTTTTTCTTTAAACGCTTTAAATATTTTCTTTGTCAAATCTTTACACTCCATTATTTTCCCGGCATCTGAAAATTTAAATTTTTAAACGATTAAATAATGATAATTATT